AGGTCAACCTGTCTTCATTCCTGACTCAGCTCTCACTAGTTGTGTGGCCTCCGTGCATCACAGATTTTCTCTGTTGTGCTCTTCATTCTTTCTATGGGGCTGAAAATACAGAAATCTATGCAGGCACTGTGCGATCGGAGATCTCAGTGCAAAGCCTCACTAGTGGTAGGTGGTGTGGTTCATATGATCCCTGGGGCCCTTGGCCCTAGGTTGCTGCCCCAGACCCCCCAGGTTTCCTTGCCTCCAGCCTCTCCATCCAGGCTACACTGCACTTTGAATTGAAAGGGAGCTGATGCAAACTCACATCCCAAAACACCACCTGGTCATGTCACCTACCTAGTCCTCAACTTTCCAAGGTCCTCTCTACCAAGCGGATCCATGGAGAGCCCCTCAATCAGCTGGGGAGATCAGCCTCTCTCCCCGCCACCACCTGCCACCCACTGTCTCTCTCTGTTCCTCATCCTGGTCCTCTCCACCAGGTAGCCATCGCCCTGACCCCAGGCATGGTCCTGCTGCAGTCATCCCCTCATGGTGCACTCCCCTACTCAGAATCAGTCTCTCAGCAGATGGGTAAAACTACCACCACCTTAAGGAACTTTCTAGAAGCCTCAGGAATGAGTGCACCTGACACTCCCACTCTCAGAAAAGATGGGACTTAGAGAATGGTGTCCAGTGACACAAAGAGGCCACGTCTCTGGAGAAAATCTTCATTGTTCTGCACTGAAGGATGGTCCTGAGCGGGGAGGATCTGGAGGGCTGTGAGAGCTGCAGGTCAGACCTTCTCCCCAGTTTGGCGAATAATCACCCTGCCTGTGCTGGTAGGGAGCCCAGCCTCTTCTCCCACACCCCACCCCACCCCCAGCCCCACTTCCTCGGATGAGGAGCTGGGCGGAGCTGTGGGAGCCAGGACCGCATTCTGCATTGCAGCTCTGGGCTGTGCAAGACAAAGAGAGAGATTGCCACCTACTGACCGACAAGCCACCTGCAAAGAGAAAAGACTGTGGAACTAGTGGCTCCCCCCTTCTCTCTGTGCTCCCTACACAGGCCACTGAGGATCACCCGGCCTTCTGTTCTTTCCATTCAGTCAGTCCCCCTGCCCTCGCATTGCCACGCCAGTGTAAGGCAAGACAGGGAGAAATGGGGACGTGACAGCTCAAGGTAGTGATGACAGCCCCTCGGGGGGAAGTTACCTGAAAGTCATTTGCCCACTGTAATAATGGCCACCGTCAGTGTGTGACAGACATTCTGCTGCAGGTGGGGCATCTGCTTAAGTCTCACAACAGCCCTCTAAGGAGCAGCACCACCATGTTACACATGAACCGAGGTTTAAAGGGAGGGTACCTTGCCCACAACCCTGGTGAGTAAGGCCTGGAGATGGGATGTGGTAATTCAGATCAGACTCTACTGTGCTCTTAAAGCATTCCCCCAACGCTTGCTAATTATGCAGCTCACATCCCCCTGTCATTTCCTCAACCTAAGTTATTTGGGCATGAAAATAAATCAGATATGAGACTGTTTTTCCTTTGCTTGGGCAGAATCTTAACTCTGTCCTATTTTGATTATTTAAGGCTCAGTTTCCTCATCTGTAAAGTGAGAATAGTAATGTTGTATGTGTAACTTAAAAATCAGTTGATGATGCCAGATGTTTACGTATGGGAGCGTATTTGTTATTTAAAGATTTGGGTTCCAATCCTAGCTCCTCATTTTTAACTTTGGATAAGTTATTTGGCCTTCCCGATCGTCAGTTTTATCATCTATAAACCGGGCTTAATAATACTATATGTTCTTGCAGGGTTATTTGCACAGTGAGATGAGATCACATGCGTGAAAACACTTCATAAATTTTCATTGTACTATTCAGATATCAGTTGTTACAATATCTGTTTCTTTTTTAATAAAACTTTTTAAAATAATTACTTTATTTAATTGTATTCATCATCATCATTATTATTTTAATTTGGCCAGAGAGAAACAGAGATAGAGAGAGAGAGGGAAAGTAAGAAAGCAAGCCACCAGGTCTGGGACTTGAACCATTGTTGGCCGTGGTTAAGTCCAGTGCACTTAACCACCATGCCACCTGCTGGCCCTGGTATCTGTTTCTTCAAACGGATTTTCTTTTTCTTTTAGTTTATTTATTTATTGAGCAAGGAAGTGAGAGAGAGAAGGAGGGGGTCTTCAGACTCTGTTCCACCCCCAGGCTCCACTGACCCAGATCACAGGGCCACGGGCTCAATCCTGTGTGCTCAAGGTCCCAGGGCACAAAGCCAGGACCTTTCCCATGGACCTCACCTGGCTCCTTCAAATGGACTTTTAAGAACTATTCTAAAAAAATGACTTGGGTTGAATTCAACCTGTAAGTAAACACTTGATTTATTTTTACTTTTTTGTTTGTTCATTTGTTTTTGCTATAGAGTACATGCAGAGAGAAACACAGAGAAGAAAGTGAGAAATCACCTTCCAGAGGGAGAGCGACACTAAAATCCCCTCTTCCCTATTTTCCTCTCTGGATTTTGGGCACATGTGCCCGGTGTGTTTTTCAAGCTGCCAGGTCTAGGACTTGAACTGCTCAGTCAGCCATAGGGGTCTAGCTGCCTTAAGCATCACACCTCTGGCTGGCCTCCCAAAGCTTTTATTTTTTAATACATGCCCAAAACAATAATTTAAAATAAAAGGAGTGTCTGTAAATGCTACAGACTATTCTGCAGGAAGCGCCAGAAGGCATTCCCTCTAATAACACATTCCGAAGGAGCTTGCTTTCCAGTCTGTGATCTGTGATACGCTTCCAAGTTTCTCAGCCTCACAGAGCTGGGCTGGTGTTTACCTGCGTTTGACAGGTGAGGAAAGGTGAGGCTCAGAGAATCGCAATGACTAGTTAGGGACATGCTGCAGCTTAGTGGAGGTGTGGGTGTTTGCCTGTGGGGCTGTGTGCTTGTGTGTCTTTGAGTACAGTTACGTGTCTGAGCATGCTTTTTACACAGTGTGATCTGTAATTCACGTGACACGCCCATGGAGGGTACATACTTGTCTATCCTTTGGTCAGTGTCACTTTATGGAGGGGAAAGGAGAAGGTAATCTTTTCTGAGATTTTGCACGCGGGTCAGCAGGAGCCCCTTCCTTTTTCTTTATGGTGTGGCTTTACATTCCAGGGCAGTTTCCACCAAAGGGCCGTGCCTAGAGAATGGATTGATTTTTATTTCCACTTCCTGTTTAGGAAATAACAGCTCTCCAGTTCTCCTAGCCTTCTGGGAATTACTTCCTCTTTTCTTCCCTGCCTGCCAGCTTTATTGAATTCTCCTTAGCAACATCCAAAAACGAATTGGTTTAGCAACAGCAGGTGAACCAATGAAGTGGGAGAATGAGAAGGGTTTCTAGACCAATAGGAGTCCTGCAGGACAGGCAAGCAGGCTTAGGAGAGAAAATAATAATCTGCAGTTTGCAAAGCAGCCTCTGGGTGGCAGCAGATCAGCTATATTGGACAGAGTCCCTGAGCTCTCAAGTGTCGGCTTTGTTTTTGCCTTTTTAAACCTAGTGTGAATGTAAGAAGTGTACCCACTGTTAGAAATTTTATGTACAAGCCTTCTGAGTGTGAGTTCTCTGTATAACGTGGTAGACGTGGCCTGGAGGATGGATTCTTGGTTCCCATCCTTGCCTTTACTACAGCCATCCCATGACTCAATCATGGCCCCTGCCATCTTGGCTGGTTCTGTCACAGCCAAAGCTAGTCCAAGAGAAGGTCTGGAGAAATCTGTTCTCTTTTGTTTAACCACTGCTGCTGCTAGTTGAGTGGAAAGTGAGGTGGGGTTGACTTTCTGCCCTCAGTGAGCCTGGAAGGAATGTGCCACTGACAGATCGACACCTACTGGTAATTACCACGTTCCCTGGCACATAGACGGAGACCATTCCTGTCCTGTTAGTTCGCTGCCTGTGTCTGAGCAGGTATGCCTGACCAGGAAGTGGCTTGAGGATAGTTCTGTTCTCATTTGGCGGTTTGCCCTCTTATTCTTGAAGCCAGGGGCTGACATGGACAGGGTTAACTGGGACCATAGCAAGATACCAGCAAACCCATGTTTCCCCTGGTATTTTAACCATCCTCCTTTTGCCTTTTGAGATGATACTGCCTTGAATAGCATTCAGTGAGGTTCGGGTCCTTCGGACATTCACATCTCTCCAATATTTCCATTTCTGCCTGGCTAACTTTTCTAGTCCTCTAAGACTCGGGTAAGGTGTTATATCTTCACAGCTGCACTATAGGTCTCCACCCTCCAACTCCCTGGCGCTCTTGTTGCACTTGTGTATTGCTTTCTAGATGTCTCTTTTTTTTTTTTTTTGAGTTTCCTCTGAAAGTCACAGAGCTTCTTGAGGACAAGGACTGTAGTTTTGTATCTCCAGCCTTTAGCATGGTATTGGCATAAAATAGGGGCTCAGTAAACATTTCTAGGGTAACACACACCTGCACGTGGTGTGTGGTTAAGGTGCTGCATCCCACATGGCCAACTTTGCGGGTCAAGACCACCCTGGGCATGTGTGCAGGCATGCCCAAAATTCCAAGGGGAAAATGAAGGAAAAGCTATTGTAGTGTGGCCATCCTCCTGTGGGGGCGGGAGTATTTCTCACTTTTCCCCTCTCTCTGTCTCTCCATAAAAATTTTAAAAAATAAATAAACAATTTTTTAGAAGAAATGAAAAATGGAAGAAAGGAACTCTTGCTCTTCAAGAAACAGTCTTAGGAATTCAGCAGTACTTGCTCAGGGACCAGGGCAATGCCCAGAAGTGACACTGGCTGTTGGGAGTTGAAGTCAAAACTTTAACACTGTGAGCCATGATTCCACATCAAAGTGGACTCCTGAAAAGTAATCACTATCCATTGACTCATTCCAAGACTTCAACACCATGAGCCATGATTCCACACCAAAGTGGAAGCCTGAAATATAGTCACCACCCGTTGACTCATTCCGTGGGGCTCACGTAGTAACATGGTCTCCTTTATGATCTGTGTTGTAGGAAGAACTCAGGAGCAAGTCCAAGGTCTGTGCCAATGTGTTCTGTGGAGCGGGCCGGGAGTGTGCGGTCACAGAGAAGGGAGAGCCCACCTGCCTCTGCATTGAGGTAAGTCCTGATGTCAGGGGCCAGAGGATAGGGCCATGGCCTCCTTTCCTGGAGCTGCCAGTCAGCAGGTGTTGCCAACTATTTCATCATCCTTATAAAAGTACATCTTGTCCATCTGAGAGACTTGGAATTTTTTTCATAGGGGTTAAAAATTAGGCATCTGATTTTTTTTTCTTTTTAAAATATGTTTACCTTTATGAGATTTTTTAAATTAAAAAATAATAATAATTGCTTTACTTAAGTCCAATAGTACAGGTATAAAATTAATACTCTCTTTCCATAGCCCTCAAATGCTGTTATTCTGGAATAACCAATAACGGATGGTATGTTTAGTATGTTTTGTTTCCCATGTGTTTTTTCCTATGCTACTGTAATTGTGGGGTTTGCCCCTACTTTATACCAAAATGGGATCATAATATTTCTAGATATAGGTATTTGCAGTTCCTATTTTGCACTCACTATATCACCAACACTTGATCATTTTTAAAGTAGTCTCCTATTTAATAATAGGAAAAAACTAAGTTAATTAAATTGTTTTTTCCTCAGGTGAACATTTAGGTGGCCTGTGGTTTGTTTACCATGCAAGCAGCACCTCATGCAAATGCCCTTACATGCTGCCACCTTTGTTTCTGTAGGATTGCCATGAGGACCTGCTAAGTCAAACAATATACAAATTCTTAAAAATAATAGCTAAAATGCTGGCTTTGAAGGGTTGGTTTGTTTTTTCAATGATCTTTAAAAAGCAAAGTGAAACTCTGAGAAATATTTATTTCGTAGACAGGATTCTGATAAATTCCTGGTCTTCTGGTGAACTTAAATGCCTTGAGTATGTGTCTCTTTTTTTTTTTTTCTAAAGTAAGAAATCAGCCCCTAGAAGGGGATGGCTATGCCATAGTCCCTTCTCCATTGTCCTCTCAGAATTTTGGGCAGGAACACACACCTGGCATGATTTTCAAGCTGCTTTGTCCAGGACTTTGAACCATTCAGTTGGCCATGTGGGATTTAGCCACCTTAACTTCTGTGGCACCTGATGGCTTGTGTTTTTTGTTTTTTGTTTTTTGTTTTTTAAATCTCCCTTCTAACAAGCCAACCCATAGCCTGGAAACACATGTCTTTCTGTAAATAAATACACTTGCCTTAGCCTCCAGATTAGGAATCCTGACTTACTGCCCCAGAAGGGAACTGCTTCCACAACAAAAGGGCCAGCACGGTAGCGTGTTAATAACTATTTTAAGATATATATATGTGCAGCTTCATTATAATATTTATAACTGCTTTATGTTTGAACTTTAATAATAAAAGTTCAAAGAAAGTGTTTTTCAAAACAAAAAAAGAAACAAACATCAATGAAAACCAGACCCTGCAGGGATCCATTTGCCCTGGGGCTCCTCACCCGGAGTATCGCTGGCCACAGCAGAAGCAGGAGCTCCCCGTGGAGTTAGGATCTGGAACCCTGATGTCTGGCCTCAGCTCGGCCACATCCAAGTGTGCGGTTTTGAGCAATCGAGTCCCCACTGGATGCCATGGAGACGGAGCCCCTGTCTGACTTTGCTCCGCCCCCAGCACCAAGCAGCACTCCATGACCTATTTTGGTTAGGGAAGAGATGAAGTCTGTCTCTCTGGTGTCCTCATCTCTCACTTGGAAAGGTGGGGCTACCTTCCAGCTCCAGAGCTCTGTGCTTTTTCTGTCGCGTCTGCTCGTCGTGACCCCTTCGTTAGGTCTGAGCTGAGCTTGCTTCCCTCGCCCTTTTTGTAAAAGCCATGAATCTAAAGAACTGAGCTTGCGTGTGATCTTGGCACCATCAGAAGGCAAAGCAGAACCTAGCTGCCAAATGCCCTTTATCCTATTTCCCCGTCCATAACAATCCTCTGTAGTACTTCACAGAGACCCAGCTGCCCCATCTCCAGCTTCATGACAGGGATTCTGAGAGTGGGAAGAAAATGAAACGGCATCTAAACACAGAACACAGCAAGAGATCCTTATAGTTAGACCCGAGAATTGAACTGGAGAGTGTGTGTGTGTGTGTGTGCGCGCGTGTGTGCATGCACACGTGTTTCTGCCTGCCTGTCAGACTCGCTACATTTCTCAGCTCCATTTGTCATAGAATGTTAGAATTTAAGGGATTTACATCATCAAAAGACATTGCATGACTTTTTTTCACATCCCTGACTGCATTGCAATGCCCTTTCTTCTAATTTGGTAGGAAGGAGGGTCTGCTTCTTCCCTGAATAGAAGATATGACCCTGAACCAAGACTGGCTCAGAGGGTGATAGGGGTACTCCAGCATGAGTGGGAGGGTCACTGATGGCCAGAGCTGGGGTTCCCTGTGCCCTTGTGGGGAGAGGCCTCAGCTTTTCTGTGGCAGGGGTTGCCCTCACAGCATGGCCGTGTGTCCTCACGTGCTCACATGTGTGTGGGCTTCGGTGACTGCACGCACCTCCCTGGGGTCTGTTTCAGCAATGCAAACCTCACAAGAGGCCTGTGCGCGCGTGTGCATGCACACGTGTTTCTGCCTGCCTGTCAGACTCGCTACATTTCTCAGCTCCATTTGTCATAGAATGTTAGAATTTAAGGGATTTACATCATCAAAAGACATTGCATGACTTTTTTTCACATCCCTGACTGCATTGCAATGCCCTTTCTTCTAATTTGGTAGGAAGGAGGGTCTGCTTCTTCCCTGAATAGAAGATATGACCCTGAACCAAGACTGGCTCAGAGGGTGATAGGGGTACTCCAGCATGAGTGGGAGGGTCACTGATGGCCAGAGCTGGGGTTCCCTGTGCCCTTGTGGGGAGAGGCCTCAGCTTTTCTGTGGCAGGGGTTGCCCTCACAGCATGGCCGTGTGTCCTCACGTGCTCACATGTGTGTGGGCTTCGGTGACTGCACGCACCTCCCTGGGGTCTGTTTCAGCAATGCAAACCTCACAAGAGGCCCGTATGCGGCAGCAATGGCAAGACCTACCTCAACCACTGTGAGCTGCATCGGGATGCCTGCCTCACTGGATCCAAAATCCAGGTGGATTATGATGGACACTGCAAAGGTAAGGTGTGCTCTCAGCTCCACCTCAGGATGGCGGCCGTGGGGATGTGGGGAGAGGGCAGAGCAGGGTGACCTGGTCGACCACGCGACCATTCTTCTGTGACCAAGGCCACCCAAAGCCATGGATGGCCTGGATGGCCCAGGCCTCTGCCTGGTTTCCTGCATAGACTCTCAGGGAGGCGGGTGGGGTGGTTTCCAGCACTGTCTACAGCAGGATAGAAGTGGTGACCACATTGATGATAATGAGGAAGTCCTTAAACAAATGCTGTACCTTTCCAGGAAGCAGGCACATTTTATTTTTTCCATACTTCTTTCACTTGGGCACCTCTCAACCCTGGTAGTACCATGTTCCCTCCACTGTGCACTCAAACCATCGCCGTTAGAGTAAGAGGGCAAGGATCCCAAGCTTGTCGCTGACGAGACACCAGCCCCCTGCCGAGCGACAGTGCTGCCCTGCTCCTCTCGGCTTTGACCTTGCAGGAGAAAGGAGAAGCAGTTCCCCAGGTATTTCCTTGCCCAGAATGATTTTCCACCTGCATTCACGAAATCCCAGCAACCCCTCAACCCAGCAGGAGGAGATGTGAGAACAGGAGGGCAACTCATGGGTCCCAAAATGTCAGAGAGCAGGAAAGAAGAGGTCCCCGTCCTTGGGCCCTGGCAGAAGGAAAGAGGCCATGTGTCAAGGCAGAATCATGAGCAGGTTGCAAATGGTCCCAAGTGTGGGGCGATTTTAGTCCTAGACATACTTGAGAAAATTGAGGCTCAGAGAGGTTAAGTAAACTTTCTTCTTCACTTCCTATTACACCTTTCCTTCTCTTTTTTTTTTTTTGGAGAGGTTTTTGCCATAGGGCGCGTGCGCTCGCCAGACAGACAGAGAGAGACAGAAAGCAAGAAATCACCCCCCCCCCGGGGGGATGGCCACGCCACAATCCCTTCTCCTCCATTCTCCTCTTGGGATCTTGGGCACGCACGCACACGTGCCTGGCGTGAGTTTTAAGCCACTGGATCCGGGACGCGAACCGCGGTCGACTATGTGGGCGTCCAGCGACATAGCCATTACGCTAACTGCTGGTCCCACACGTTTCCTCCTTTTGTCTTGCAGAGAAGAAACCTGTGAGCCCGTCTGCCAGCCCTGGTGAGTGCCTGTTTCTCTACAGTGTGCGTCGTAAGGAGGAAATCCTTTCCGTGACAGGAATGTTGTGGTCTACAATTTCTGCCTAGCTCATGAGACCTTCTGTGACAGAACTTGTGACCCGGAACCAATCATTCCTCAACACAGCTCGGAAAGGCTGCGGAAGTGCATTTTCTTGTGCTTGCCAATTGAAGCAGCTGTTGAGTCAGGATGTTGGCTGTGCTTTCCAGTTTTGCTGAGTAGTGATTGAACTGCAAGAACAGAATGGCCACTGGGTCCTCCCGTCAACACTCTGTAAGATGTGCTCCTGTCAGGAGACCAGCAGAATCGAGTTCTTCTTCAGAGGGGTTACTAGAAATGTCAGTGACAGTTCTTCCTTAGCTTTCTATTTATAAGAACTAAATTCATCATGAGTTATATTACAGTCCCCTTTAGCATATGCTCTTGCGAGGAGCCCTAACTCTAATTACCTTATAAATGAGAAAATTGAGGCTCAGATGAGGCTCAGAGAGGTTAAGTAAGTTTCCCAAAATCACACAGCCAAGAAGCGGCAGAATAGAAAAGAATGCCCAGATTTTCATTCCCCAGCCCAGGGCCTTTTTCACACCCCAGCATGCATTGGCTTCCAGGAATTCTTTTCGCCAAGGCTCTCCCTACTCTGCTTCCTCATCTACATGACTGGGTCCCACCCGTTGTTTCCATGTGGCTTACAACAGCTGTCCTGGGCAGGGGTTTGACTTGGCCTCACTTTCTGTAGTTTATGACAAAGGATGGTGCAGGTGGTGTGAAATTTCAAGTGGGAGGTTTCGAGAGACCCAGTTGGTAAGAAAAGGAGAGAAACTATAATCAGCAATCCAGTGACATAAAGAATTGAAAAGTTCTCACTTATTCATGTTTTTTCAGCTCATTTTGGAGCCAAGAGAGTTGCTCCAATTCCAGCTTCCTAAAATTAAGGAAAATTTCTTACCTAAGCAACAAAACCTCTCTATTTCAATCTTCTCCATCTTTAAAAATACATTAGAAATGTGAGTTGGCGCCCTGGGTGAGACACTTTCCAGTTGTGTCCCCTGGGTGTGGTAACCCCGTCCCCCTGGGGTGCTGGGAAGATTCAATGGGATTATTGTGGCAGAGCCCGGGGGCCGTTGCCACTGGGCCTTCCCCTCCCCACCCAGCCTACGCCCTCCCCTCTCCTGCAGTTGTTTGCTATCAGTCCAACCGGGAGGAGCTGCGGCGGCGCATCATCCAGTGGCTGGAAGCAGAGATCATTCCAGACGGCTGGTTCTCCAAAGGCAGCAACTACAGTGAAATCCTAGACAAGTACTTCAAGGTAAATCAGAGTTGGGGTCAAGACTGTTCAGTTCTAGAGAAAGGGAGGCTTTCCCCTCCCTTTGCCTGGTCACCTCTTCCCCAACTACAAGAAAATGCAAATCTGGTTAGTCCCTACGTATTTCTCATCACACGTCATTCCCTTAAGCCAAGAAGGTTGCCTTCCGACCAGCTTGAGCAGGGGAGGCCCAGCAGTTGAGCCTTGGGATCTGACACACACGGGCTGCTCCGTTTCGGTGGTTAAACCACACAGGCCTGGGCGAGCCTGTCAGTGAGAAAGATGGCTAAGTGCTACTCCCTCCCTCAGACAACGCCTACTGCAGCTGGCTGCTGCTAGAAGATGCCTTCGCGCCTCACCCGGACCCAAACACATCAGCCTCTTTCTGGCCTAGTGTGACACTTTTCTGTCATTGCCTTGACTATTCACGGCCTGTACAGCTTCCTCATCAGACCTGACATTCCACAGGCCCAGGGGTTCTTCATGGACCTAGTGCTGTTCCCCATTGAATGTAGTTGAAGAGACAGAGTTCCAACTGGGACAGGAGAGATGCTTTTTCAAAAAGAAAAATAAGGGACCAGCAGATGGCATAATGGTTATGTCGCTGGACTCCCACGTAGTCGACCATGTGGTTCATGACCAGTAGCTTAAATTCAGTGCCAGGCATGTGTGCATGCGTGCCCAAGATCCTGAGAGGAGACCGGAGGAGAAGGGATGTGGCATGGCCAATCTCCCTGGGGAGTGATTTCTCGCCCTCTGTCTCTTTCTCTCTGTGTCTCTCTGGTGAGCACACACATGCCCTATAGCAAAAACCTCTCTTTAAAAAAAAAGGAAAGAAAAACGAAGGAGGAAGCAGTATTTAGCAATGGGTAAGGCTATCAAGGAATGAAGATTTTATAGAGATCTCGACAGTTAAAAGAAGCCGTTAAGGACGCTCATGGCTGACGAGAACACAGACACGCGGACGGGTAAGGCACACTCAGAGATAAACATATCACTCAGAAGCACAGACACACACAACATGCCAGAGACACACACCACACAGACTCATTCTACACACGGACACGCACAGACACCCACATGCCCACACAGTACCACAGCTCCTTCACTTACAGACCTCTCGGTGGCTGCCTCAGTGCTCCTCCCTAGCCAACACTCCCACACACTCCAACATGTGCTGCCAGGGCCAGCTGTCCCAGGGCCTACCTGCAAGCTAGGCCAGGGGGCAGTTCCAGACACCAGGCACTTCCCTGCAGCTCCGAGGCCACCCAGTGTGGTCAACACCAGTCTAGTCTGGGAATTCTTTTTCGCTTTTGATGTATTTATTTATTTGTTTATTCATTTATTTATTTCTTCCATGACAGAGAGAGAGACAGACACTCCTACAGGGTCTCCATGCTGAGATCCACCCGCAGTCTCAGCTAGCTGGATCACAGGCACTTAAGTGTGTACCTGGTATGCTTGGGGAAGTCCTGGGATGTGAAACCAGGACCTCGCCCATGTGAGTCCAGCTGTGTACCACTGTGCCACCACCCGGCCCCTGGATTCCTCTTTTTAAATGGTATATGAACCCCTCAGAAGGAGAAATACTGGATTGGGTTGGAATGGATATTTGGTTGAGACTTGACTTGTCTTACGTTTTTGAGATAAAGATATCTCTCCTCTATGAGAGAGACTGTATCTCTTGGCTTCCAAGTTCTGGAGATCACACCCGGATGAGGAAGCACAGCCCCTCTTACTCTGTCCTTCATTTCAACCACTCCCACGTGACAGAACCCTGAGGGCAGAGGTGCTTCCTTTTCTCCAGAAAACATATCAGCTGCTGAGCCAGGAGAGTTGGGCAGGAATGAAGTACCCGAGAGAAGTGCTCAGAGGCCAGGTGAACCCTACCTGCGAACCTGTTGTGAGCAGTGATTTCTGCCCTGTGATTACAGCGTAGGAGCTGAGGGACCTACGACTGTCTTTCCGAGGGGCCGCTTGGGACCTTGTAACCATTTGGAGTAGCACTTTGGTGGCTCTGCCTCAGGCATCACTGACACCTGCTGTTAGATTTGCTTCCCAAGGACCCGAGACACGCTCCCCTGAGACAGCTTCACTTCCTCCGGCACTCTCTCTCTCCTACCTGAAAACTGCAAAGCCTTTCAAGGAAGCTGCTTTCCTCTAGGGCATTCTCACTCCCAACTCAGAAAGCCTGATCAGGACTGGCAAGCACGAAGTCCACTCTTCCCAGGCAACTCTGGCACATACACACACACTAGGCAGCTGCCTGTTGGCAAGAGATTTGATATCCTAGAGAGACTTTCTGAGCCAGTGACTTGCTCTCTGGCCCAGCTGGCAAGCCTTACATCAAAACAGTTGAAAAATATGGGGCTAGCAAGTGGTCTAGTGGTTAGGGCACTGGACTCCCACATGGCCGACTATGGTTCAAGTCCCAGACCTGGCGACTTGAAACTCACGCCAGGCATGTGTGTGTGTGTATGTGTGTATGTGTGCCCAAAATCCTGAGAGGAGAATGGAGGAGAAGGGATTGCAGTGTGGCCATCTCTTCACCCCGGGGCGGGGGATTTCTCGCTTTCGGTTTGTCTCTCCAGCAAGCGCGCACACACACACACTATAGCAAAAATCTCTCAAAAAAAAAAAAAAAAAAAGTCGAAAACAAATCTAATCAGAATTTAAATCAGGCCAAAATCAACTAGTGATTCTCACCCCAACCACTGACTCAGTCACAACTTCTTACGAGCAAGTGTAGCAGAACAGAGAAGGGAAGACTCAGGTAGAGGCCGCAGTGTTTCTCACACCCTGTGATGCCAGGGCTGATGCTGGACCCCAATGTCATGTTCACCATTGCCCCGGCCTCCACGTGAATGAGCACCTCACTCTGTCCATGTCCTTGCCCCAAACATGGGTCTCATAGCAGACATCTCCCTGCCTTCTGTAACCCCACAGTTACATCAAAAAAAAGTAAAGTATTGTTATCTCAGATTCGGAACTGGGCAGATGGGCCAAATAGGTCGTATGCCTTTGTAGCTGGTTGGCTGAACAGAAGGCAAGTAAATGACGTTGGTTCACGGTCCCAGGTTATGACCCCTCAGGCAGAAACCCAGGCTCTGGGATAGGTGCCAGAGTTCTGTGTTCCTGTGGGTTCCACCTCAGATCTAACCTAGGGAGGCCCAGCCAGGCCCATAAGAGATGAGAATGCACACAGGCTGGGACATCTCCTTAGATTTGACCTGGATTCTGGTCTCACTGAGTCTGAAGTATGTGCACAGAGCACTGGCCTTAGAGCTGTTAGGGCTGTGAGTGCTGCCAGATTTAGGGTGCTTCCAGCACGAGGTCTGCAGCCGACGCTGGACTGTTCTCTCCCTATACTCACCCTGCTGTTAGCCCCTGCTGATGTCGGGATCCTCCCAGCACATGCAACGTTTGGACTCCAGGAAGTGCTGTGCTACTGGGAATAGCTCCTGGCCCGACTTACTCAATTATTGTCCCTTTAACTAATCAGGACCTCAACATGTGAGCGCATGGGGAAGTTTTTCTCAAGGTGAATATAAATGTCCAGCAAGTGGAGAACATCTGAGACCTGCTCCTGGACTTAGAGCAAGAATATACATAGGTCCTAAGCGAGGGCCTAATTGTTTTATACGCATGTGTCCTCATACATGCTGTGGAAGGATTTCCAAGCTTAAAGTGAAACACGCGTGACACGTGGCAGTCACGAAGGAGAGTCCACGGCTACTTCTTTCCCTTTTCTTCAATCCCTTGCTCCATCTGGGGAGCCTCTTTGAAGTAACAGGGGGTGCTAATCATTTCTCAGAGCAGCAGCATGAGGCAGTCTTGGGAGATGATTTGGGGAGAAATGCCCTGGGACTAGTTAGGAGGGCAGATCAGAATCCAACAAGACTCCAACTGTCTAATTTAGAATCTGATCAGAGCCTCGAAATTGACACCTTCTGCCTGCAGCCAGGGTCTAGGCATCTTGCAGGGTCCCAGATGGCTAAAGTCGTAATTTAGCATCTTGCCAGAGACAGAACAATTCCCGAGCTCACCACACCCGCACCTCATGCCCCCGGATGTCAGCTGAGTCGTCAGGACAGCCCGAGCTGGGTAATCTGAGGATCTGTGCACATGTCTGTGATGGGCACAGCACAGGGCAGAGGGGTGGAGGACTTGCATCTCCCCTGCCTGTGGCTTATTGACTTAGGGCTTTTGCCGCTGACTCCTCTCACCAATGTGGTCAGTTACGGGTGCCAGTGTGAGCTGTGGGCACTGAGAATAAGACTAGGAGGCTGGACATCAAGTGGCAAGATATGGTCCTGTGCTCTCTGCAGTGAGCCGGGGGCGTCTCCTGCAGGGCTGCTTCTGATCAGCTTGTTAAACACATCCAGGGCTCCACTGCAGAGTCTGACTCTGTTATCCTATGCCCATCAGGGTTTAAGGACGTGTTGTTACATGATCATTGTGTGGTGGCTGCTCTGAACCAAAAGGGAAGTCTGTAGCAGAGGGTCAGGATGGGGTAACACAACACGTGGGGGCACCCCAGGCCTCTCGGGCAGCACGGGCCTCTGTTCAGGTTGCCCTCCCAAGCTGGATCTGGACTGGAAGGCAAGCACGCTCGCTTTCTTCTTGGGGCACTGGTGCCTTCTGCAGATGCCACAGGGAGTAGAGCCTTGGTAGCTCTGAGGCCTGGCCAGAGCAGGGTTGGGACAGGCCAAGAACAAGATGAACCAGATGGGCCAAGGGGGGCAGTGATAGAAGTGGGCTCCATGAAACGTTTCTGAAAGACCTTTCTGGCCCTATTCTAGAACTTTGATAATGGTGACTCTCGCTTGGACTCCAGTGAATTCCTGAAATTTGTGGAGCAGAACGAAACTGCCATCAACATCACCACCTACGCAGACCAGGAGAACAACAAGCTGCTTAGGTGAGATGAGTGAGGGGTCAGGATGTGGGGCACGAGGGCAAGGCTGCCTACCAGAGGGGCCGTGAACCCCTTCCTACCTGCAAAAGAGCTGCCACTGTCAATGTGAAGTAGGAAAATAGGGGTCCTGACCTACCCTTTTCTATGAACATTACGAACTAACACAGTGAGCACCACCGATATCTGATGAATAGTTAATATTTTTAGCCAGAATGTGAAAGGAATAGAAAATACAATTTTGGGACCAGCAGATGGCATAATGGTTAGGTTGCTGGACTCCCACGGAGTTGACCACAGTTTGAGTCCCGGACCCAGCGACTTAAAACTCATGCCAAGTGCGTATGTGTACATGCCCAAAATCCTGAGAGGGCAATGGAGAAGAAGGGATTGAGGGGACCAGCAGTTAACATAATGGCTATGTCCCTGGACTCCCATGTAGTCGACCGCAGTTTGAGTCCTGGACTCAGGGGCTTAAACTCACACCAGGTGCGTTTGCATGCGTGCCCAGGATCCTGAGAGGAGAATGGAGGAGAAGGGATTGCAGTGTGGCCATCCCCCCTGGGGAGTGATTTCTCGCTTTCTGTCTCTCTTTCTGGCGAGCGCACGAACCCTATAGTGAAAACCTCTCCCCCCAAAAAAGAAAAAAAAAACAGAAGGGATTGAGGTGTGACCATCCCCCTGGGAGCTGATTTCTGTCTTTCTGTCTTTGTCTCTTCAGCAAGCGCATGCACCCTATAG